TGGAGACACCCTCATCCAGTGATTCTTCAAAGTCTTCCGAGCGTTCCTCACCAACAGATAAACCCATGTCTGCCGACAGCGTGGGGACAATTACTGCTCTTGAACGCGTAAATGGCAATGGGAACACTTCAGATTCGACAATTACGGCATCTGAAGCGGATACGGTCACTTCTATGAATGTAACTTCGACTCCAGTCACGGGTGGTGCGATCACAAAGCCCACATCAAGTTGCAAGAGACTTCGTCGTTTGAGCACCAAGCTCGGCTGAATTCCTTAGTCGGTGTTTTCTGTACAATGTAATCGTGAATTTGTCTTGTCGAAAGCGTTAAATGTTAAGCGAGCTTTCAATGTTTGCATCCAATGACATTTCATCGGCTGTGGCAATATAGATAAGATGATTTTCATTGAGCAGAGATGAGTATATTGTTTTTTAACGTTGCCATCACGAAGTGAAATATGGCGTAGTTATCCACTTGAGGCCTTTCAAAAGATTCAACTTTAAGCATATGTATGATTTAATGTGAAACATCGTATGCAGTTGCTCATTCAATTCTGCTGAATTCTGACTCACTAGCACCGCCAAACTGACTGCATACTGATGTTTTGTCAGACAAGCAACTGGATGTCTACCTTTTCTCATCAAACATGAACACAACCTCTGAAAAATTCGGGCCGCTTTATATTCTTGCAAAGCCTCTTGGTTGGGACAAATTTTTAAGCGCGGCCTTAGAACAACGTCACGTGCTGATCAAAAACTTCTAATTAAAACTTTTTAATTGAATCAGGTGAAGAAAAGACAAATAGCCAACGTGTGCTTGTCTGGAAGCGCAGCCTGCTGTGGGGCCTTAAGTTTACCTGGAGGTTATACCACATTTGCAAGCTATTCTAAAACTAATCGTGTTTACAGCTCGACCAAAATGACATCTGAGACGACGTTTGATGCAGAACCTCCTCAAACCAAAGCCGAAGTAAGTGCTAATCAACCTTGATAGGCCGCGTTACAAAGCCCACCATTATGTTAAGCTTTCAGAGAACCACCTGCAATGGGCGAATTTGTAACTGGCATAGACTTGCGCCTGGGTTGAGAAGGTAAAAATCAAGACCGTTTTTCCAAAATTCAATTTGCACTGACGAGGGCGAAACTTAGTCACATTTTTGATGGCATGAGAAATCCTTTGTTCCGACTCGTTGGCTCGATACACACAAACCCACATATCACTTGGTTTTAGTTCGTAAAAGCGATCCTTGCATTCCAATTCGACGATGCGAGCCGTTTAATAGTTGGGAATAAGTTCAGCAAAGGGAATGTAGCCTTAAAATGGACCGCGAGACCATTATTAACTTCTGCGGCACTATACACTATTCATCTCGTAACGCCCGCACTTGGCTTGTGTCTTTATTTTGTGCAGGCTTACTACGACCATTTGAGTAAAAATTCAAACAGTGAGACCAAGATGATGTTGTTTATTCTAAACAACCTAGTCAAGGAACGGGAGTCATTTATCTTTTCGAGATACAGTAGTACCTATTTAAATTAAACCTGTTTAATTTAAAATCCTCTTTAAATTGAACTAAAGCTATGGACCCATGCTGGGCACAACATCGTAGAACCTGTCCAAATTTAACCTGTTAAATTTAAAACCTTTTCTAAATTAACACTGTCCCCCAGTCCCAACATGTTTAATTTAGACAGGTTTTACTGTAAAGCTTTCTACCAAATTCGACGCCTTTCTCTCGTTCACTGTGGCCTTTCTCTCCTATGGTAACAAGAGACTATTGTAAATCAGAAAGGATTGCACAATAAGCAGGAGATGGTTCTCCCAATTCCTTAAGGAGTAAATGATTCCGGCCTACTCGCGATGGGTACCTGGGAAAAATGCTCTGAGATTGGCTGATGAGGCCCCAGTGATTATTTTATGAAATAACCGCAGTAGGTTGCCGTGCCCTTTGCACAAAGAAAACTCCGACTCTCAAATTTATCGCACTCAAGTCTCTTCGTAAACTTTTACCAAGAGCGGAACCAAGAACCTCTATGGTAGTCAACACGGTCAGTTGCCCTGCTATTTCATATATATAGTAAACTCGATTTCGATTAATACATAATAGCTTTATTTTTTGACCAGCTCATCTGCACCTCAGACCACTGGTCTAATTTTCGCTATTTTCACGGATATCGATATCCCGGTACAAGTGAGTATTCACAATAACACCAAGGGTAATGTGAATTTCGTACAATTGCACCATATTGTATTTTATTCAGTTGTGCCAAATGTGTAATACAGAAGATCTACTTGCCCCATTCCACTAGCAACATTTTACCACAGTCATTAATGTTTCGCCAGATATATGCACATATCAATTTTGATTACATATCTGGACAAATCGTGCAGAGAACTGGAGATCGTATGCAGTCATCCATGTCTAATAAAATAATTTTGTACGTACCAATCAGGTGCCGAACCCAGAGCCTCTACCGTAACTACTCTATAGTTTGCTTTGATAGTAAAAGTGGTATATTTAGAATTGAGCTTGAATGGTACCTAATATACCCTTTTCACTGTATATATTGCACACCGTGCTCACATATATCACGGACATCTCCTATTTAGTCTCATCCGTACCGAATACCGTTCATTTTACATTTTCCTCGTGTTGCTCCTTGATATTGAAGTCCTTCGCATCAAGTTCGAGGGCAAAATTGCCCACCAAATTCGGGTATGTAACAGCTACAATTTGCCTTCAAAGCAAAAATCGCACTGGGATCTCAATCAGTTTTTATCGTTACAAGACCGCGCACACACTGATAGCTCTACAAGCACCCACTGCGCCATAGTTTTGTCTTTAGACTGCAAGTCACAGTCCCAGCTCTCAAGCAAATTTATCGGTTAGATGGGTAACTCGCTGAGTACCGACCCAACGCCTGCGCCATAATTGAACGCTAACCGACCCCCCTATTGTAATGGGGTTACACGTACCCTGGTAACAGGGGGGTGTCACACAAATGGGCATGGTGTGAATGTACCCAAATAAGAATACGGTATGTGGCTGGGTAGCCAGTAGTTATGCATGTAATTAGATTTTACTATATATATTTAGGAAAATCTATACATTTAAAATTAGGCGGCTTTGCCGCAGATAAAAATAAAGAAAGTCAGTTTTGGATTTTAAACGGAAGAGTTAATTAGTTTGGGTTAAGGCAATAATTACTCTTGGAGTAAGCGGACTAAACTCGTACTTGTTATAAGTTTAGAATGAAAGGTCCCTCAAAGCGCAAAGCTACGGCAGCCCGCTGCACTCGATAGCACTTGTAGTCAATCTACACCTGAATCGTTAAAACTGATCCTCTGTGAGAATGGAACAATTTTTCTCCTTCCCCAGGGCATACAGGGCGGGCTTAACAAGCTGATGTCCTTGCTTGGCCCTGAGGGTGTGCAACACCTTGCTGTGCAAGGCCCCGAGGCAATCGGTGCGCGTCTATAGGCGTTTTTGAAATACGAGAACGCGCTGCTAGAGCACCTGCAGCTGAAGATGTCTGCATCATTTGCGTCTATGACGCCACCGTCAATGACGGATGATATTCCCCGTCCTAAGCCGCTCATGGTGAGCGTTAAGGTCTTTGG